TAGAGTATAATTCCATATTTGATTTGTTTATTTGATATAGCACACAGTGATACAGTATTATTTAATGGACGACGTTTCAAGCGGAATTTATTGCTCATATTCATATTCAAGTTGCATCAAAGTCACCTTAATATGAATAAAAGCAATAAATTCTGCTTAAAATGTCGTCCAGTAAATTATACAGTATCACTGTGTGCTTTATTAAATAAACAAACTGAATATGGGATAAGAATAATATTCTATTGGTACTTGTAATTTCCTGTGGTTATACTAGATAGCAAATGATCGACCTCTGTTGACACATGGGTTCTTATGTGGATACGTCGATATTGTTTGAATATAAAGTATGCTATAATTTACTCAGTAATTGCTAGAAGTAGAATCCAGGGCACATGTTTTGTTTTATTTAGGACTCTCCAGTTGAATGTACCTGCATCCCAGTGAATGGTGTTGCTTTCACTACTAGCCACCACTGAATAAATTATAACTCAATAAACAGTTAGGCAATATCCAGGCATCCGCATAAGAGCCCATAGACCAAGAGTAGTCGATCATTTCGATCTAACTTATCAACGATAAACTACGAGTAATGATAAATAATAAGTGATATCTGTTGCACAAGAGATGGTCCTCGTGCTTCAGTAACCCAGTGGATAGGGCTCTGGAGTTTGAAGTGACGAGTGCTTCGTTTAGGTCTCAGTGGGAACGACACTACTTTTACAATTTATTAATTCCTGCATCTTACCTACTCTTCTACATTTTTCCCCACTGATCTTTTCTAGTCTACTAAAAATGGACTATGTTATATTGCATAGGGCTTTGAAAGCAGTCAGTAGGGTGAGTGATGTGCCTCTGACCCAAATGATTAACACTGTAGTTGACAGACATTTAAATCCTAGAAAGCAACTAGTTACAGTAATTTTAACTGACACTGAGCATCCACTTCATTCACAGTCCTTTTATCTTATATCCCACAGAGAGCATAAGAAGAAACTACATAAAACTGTAAGCTCATACAGCCAAGTGCAAGAATTCGACTGTACCTTACCTAGCATGCATATTATCTGAGGATTAAAGTTTTAGAACAGGACTCACATATCAACTTTGTAACAGTTAACAATCTCATTTTAATTTGATTAACAATGTAAAATGTTCTTGTTTTCAATATTCTTTATATTACCTACATTTTTATGATAACACAATACGAAACGTTTTAAAGGAGTATAAACATACATATATTTTGTTGTTGTTGCAATATGTCATGCTGAGAACTCCAAATTCTACCATAAATTGTTTGGAATAAGTGAATTATTATTACTGTTATTAGTATTATCCACTGGTCAGCTGGTACATCCAGCTGATGAGTCCCTAATCAAACGAAGCATGCTCCCTAGAATCCACTACTATCTATCACTAAGTAAATTACAACATAGTGGGAATAATAGTTTCAGTAGAATAGTTTGGACCTATCCAGCTGCCATGTTAGTCGCTTTACTGGAAGGATTGTTTACTGAAACAATCTAAGGTTGACAAATCGCCTTATCATGCTATTTCCAATTGTATATACCCTTTCGCATGTACATCTCAGAACAGACTTGTTGGATGAACAGAGAGAAGACTTTGTGACTGCATGTCTGACCACATTCCAAGGAGTTTGTGCCTGGGAGCTATGAATCTTCAACAGTGTAATTATATGTCACCTTAATGATAATGGACATGAAATTGATATCAAAAAATCGTTTGAAGTAGTCAATAAACATATGAACTCAAATTTATTACATTTTGTTCAAGTTATCAAACGATTAAAACTGAACATATAAATTCAGAAAGAAACAGTCCTCAGTATGTCACTACTATGGCAATTTTTCGGTTATCATGTTTTTTACGTAACATTCTCAATATGTATCACTGTATTGTTTGTTTCATTTCGCAGACTTGAACTTACTGTCCGCATTGTATTCATCTTATTTTCGAATTTAGTGTAAATCCTCTAACGTTTGCGTAACCTTAAAGATCAACAATGGAAAATTACGAGCAATAATATAAAAGCTATAATGTACCCGTCGCACAAGGAATAGTTATCGTGACTCAATGATCTTGTGGATAATACTCAGGCGTTTGAAGCGATCGGTCCCGGGTTCGAGTATTAGTGGAAACAGCATCACCCACTGGGAGACAGGTGTATCCAGATAACGAATCTCAAATCGGAAGAAATGTGCATCCTGGATTCCACCGCTAGCCACTATCCATCATTACTATTCAACTGAAACTAGAGGCAATATCGAGGTATCTGCGTAGAAGCTTATATGTTAAGTACGTAGACATTTTTGCATATTTTGGTATGAAGATTGTCTTAGATTGTAAGCAGCTGATGAGTAACTCCGAAATAAAATGGATCTATACAAAATTTGCTAAAAAAATTTATATTTCACTATCCAGTGGACTAAGATGTGAAAGACAAACCAGCACTACTTATCACTTCCATGAGTAAATATCAGTTCACTATGCGGCTGAGTGCATTAGCTGTAACCAGAAACACTGTCTACCACATACACCAATGGTTCTTCTCACAATTCATTAGAAGTGATCGGTGATCAGATCACAGTCTTAAATTGCAACAAGATAATTCGTTTCGTTTAGTCTACCGATTAGAAAGTGACCTCCATATATATATTATATATATGAGCGGACACTTGGACAACAATCTTCAGATTCCACCTTTAATGGTCGCTCAGTTTCTTACGAAAAAAGAAAAGGCGGTAAGATAACAGAAGATGTATTGCAACGACAAAATATGTACAACATACAATGGTTTATATATATTTACAATGGCCTTTCTAGAAAGGCATATCCTATTGATTTTGTTTCTCCAACTAATCAGATATTTACACGTAGGTTCACGTGCTTTATCTAAAAACTTCGGGGTAATAAGAGTGGTTGTGAAAGGTTTCAGATATTTAAGGCTACTTAAGCGCATCTTGGATATCTTAATGCAGACTATAATAGACGTAGACAGTAACTTTATATCTAGAAATAACTTTCGAATTCACTTGATTCATTTGTTTTTTACTGTGGTCAGTTTTCGTTTACCTCACTTTCAATTACTTTGAACGTAATAAACAAATTGTGAATTTTTACATAAAACTTTCAACTTAGCTAACAAATTCTCACTCTTTTTATAAGTGACTTACATTCCATAAAGTACTGTTAACTTTTCACCATTGGTGCATAGTGTGACGATGAAAATGAAAAGTTACGACAAGAAAAGCATTCTTTTTAAAAGAGTGATTACGTGGTCAGTTTTACAAGGTACGCTCAACAAAGGTTTCATTGTGCTTATGCTGTTTTTCACAAATAAACCAGTAAAATAAAACCACAGCATCATGGTCACTAGTTTCGATTCCAAACCATATTCGATATCACCCCGAACCACTAGGTTACCTGGTCTCTCAAAACTCATTCAGGGGATCTTAAGGCACTTAACCGGAAAAAAATATCCTTCATCCCACGATGATACATCATACTCTGACCAACTCTCCGCTTCTTTTAACCACCTCCAGGGCAGGGGAACGGTGAGCAGTCTGAAAGCCACTGGGATGGCATAGGTAACACATCCAAGTCACCGTTGCCGATGCTTCAAGATGATCTCACTCCATGAATGACGATCTACAGCATACCTAAACACTAACACATCATTACATACATAGTGATTCCATAAGATGACAGTAATGCTATGGTGATAGCTGTGATCACATATGCAACGTTTTCAGAAAGCTCCAGCTCGGAGAAGTCGTTTCAAAGATATAATGTAGGAGTGCCAGCACCAACGCATTGTACACTCGACTTTTTACAGACAAACATAAAAAAAGCAGCAATGGTGACTCCAATTAACAAATGGCACCCTCGCATGCAATATAAGACCAGAAATGCCATCAATCACATCTCCACCGGCACCTTCATACATATCCCGGTAAACGAACATTTTGACGACTTCCAACAGTCTTTCACCTGATAGCAGGTCTACAGAATAATTACGCTCCTATTTCAAGTCTATCTTGAAAATGTCATCAATGGTAATGCTAAAGATGAGTGGTAAAAATCGACAATGCTGCTTAACCTCACTACTGATTTTAACCAACGGAGAAAAGTAGTGCTATCCCTCCTAATATGAACGAATTGCATTTCCGCAAAATAGGTAATCATGCTTTAGTCAACCAAGATGAACAGTAATTGGATTTAAACATGACTGTACAGCTCCTTAAACTAAATTTACCAGCAACTGGATATCTCGGTAAAGTTCGAAATTTTTTCGAAAATTATAAATAATGGAAAGTCCTGAAGTGCTGAAGATTTAACCAAGCCTGATGATAAAACGTTCACGACAAAATATCAAAGTTCAGAGAACACCAAACCACCATCATCCTTATCCTGAGCTATATATCATTTTCAAAAGGAAAAATCATCTGCTTGATGATGCTTTACTCATTCGTTAGAAAACAGTAGATATGATAATCTTAATCAAAAGGCGATTACAAGGAATCTGTTTATCATGCAGAATGATAACACTTTCTGTTAAAGTCCCGAAGAAAATGCCTTTGAACTGGCCAGTATCCTCAATTCTATACTGAAATCCATTACAAAGTTAAGCGACTAGTTCACTTCTGGAATTTAGGAGGTGCGTTTCGTCCGATTTAGGATTCGTCAGTTGGACATACCTTCATCCCACTGAATGTTCTTGTTCCCACTGAGACTTGAACCTGGAAGTCACCTCTTTCAATATCAAGGTAAGGTGACCGACTATTTTTGACTATATTGAAAAGACTCTTGCTTTGCGCAAAACAATAACGATAAGCCCGTTATCTGGTGACTACGTTTGATTTACATCTAGTCACTAAAGATGATGACAAGTTTTAAAGCCAGTCAACATTCTACTAGGATAAAACCAAATGCTGTCATATGTTATGGTTATAAACAAAGTTTTAATCTTATCATCAACTTACTCTCGAATAGCCTCAGTTAAGCGTTTTGTCTCGTTGCTGTAAACCGGTAATACAAAGAAACGACTTCTCCAAAACTTGAGATTCTGTAAAACAAAATAAACAGATACATTAAAGGAAGAAATTAACACAATAAAAATTGTTAGGAAATTCGTTTTTATCTCACTAGAAGTGAAGCATTTGAATTCAATTCTGGAAGGTGAATTACATAGTCCTTAAATACTATTTAAGTTATGTGGGACAGTTGTTTTATACTACAACTGAAGTGAGCATAATGACGACACTAACTCAACCAGACATTTGCACTGGATACGAATAGTGACCATTCTTCCTCAGAACCTTATATTTCAGTCAGCCGTGAAAATCAAAAGAAAAGACCGGCCTTTGACCGTAAGAAAGATACTTTGCTCGACAAAAGTATATCACTTATACATAGTTTTCATGAATATATAAAACCACTGGGTAGAAGGTTAAGCATTTATTTTGATTGGTTACCTGTAAGATAGATTGTCCAACAGGGTCTTTCCTGACTACACAATGACTCGGAACAAAAATTGAAATCAAAAACTTCTACCTTACCAGTTGATGACTTAAAATGTTGATTTGCATTTAAGCCGCTTCTTATCAACTACATAGTGCATACGCTTCAACAACTTCATAACTCAACCCAAGAATAAGAAGTTGCAAAGTAGTCAGTTTATAGCTCATCATGCAACGCATCATAAATTAGTGGTTGATATCTTATAACAATAGGCAGTTCGTAATGTAGCTTATCATGTTCTACGACATCATTTGGACATATTATTTATTCACTCAACAGATGCTGAAATGTTTTTTATTGATGAACAGCTACTGTCTCACGTTTATAATCCCCCGGATAATAATAGTTATTCAACAGTCTGTCTTATCGTGCCAGTCTGGCTTGTATATCATAATGACCTGACGAGCTATGATAGCGAGTATGAATGTTTCTTGAGGTCCTATTGTTCAAGGTATGTCAGGCAAAAAGCAGTTACCTTTATAATTTAGACAATGTACATTATACATGATTTAGTTCTAAAGTGATATGATGATTACAATTGTCGAGATATTTTTTTAATCATTTTTTTTTAACGAAAACACAGCCAGTGAAGATATCAATAAAAGAAATATTTTGAAAGCGCCAATTGTAGGCAGTAACCACTTGTGTGTATCGATGTCAGTGTACTTATATCTGTACATTGTTCAACAAATATAATGCAATAAAATAAAAGTGAAGATAACAAGAGAAAATAAACCAAGACCACCTTGGTAGATGGCCAATCGACAGTAAAGAAGTTGTTAGAAAGAAAAAAGAATTCCAGCATATCTTTCATTCATACATTACACCTTTTTTCCTAACTAGTTTTTTTTGCATAAAACGATAAAAAGTATCAGTAATCTAATCAAACCTATTTCATTTTGTTATTATCTCATTATGATAATGACATTGATATCCACAAAAACAGCTAATTCCTAAATCAAATCAAACACACAAGGAATAAAGTTAAAAAGATGGAAGTCAATTAAACGAATCCTGAGTTCAAAGAAGAGATATAAAGAAATGACAAGAACAGAATTAACGGTTGATTCCATACTCCGTTTTTGGGAAATTAAATCCCTATTTGGAAAATCATGTAGTTTAAGCTCTGCGCTTAATACAACATCATGGAATATCCGGCGGTATCGTATCGAAGCCCGTCTGTCAACAGACGTCGAGGAATTTGGCCATATATAGCAACGGGAAATTACAAGTATTGAACAACACCAAATTATACCCGCAGTACAAAAGGCGGCCCTCTTACCCCAGTGACCTAGTGTTTGATGTTTGAAACAATGGGTACTTGGTTCGACTCTCAGCAAGAACAACATCACTCACTGGGGTGCAGGTACATATAGTTGAGAAGTCCCAAAATAAGTCGCAAAGAGCATCCTGGATTCCAGTGCGAGTCAGTAAGATGAATAGTCTGTACTGAATATCTATGAAGGCGATTATCAGGAACAAGGCCCACTGTGTCATAGTCCAGCTCAAAGGCATCCAAACTGTCGAGAATATAATCACGAATTTAGCTTTGTATAATTTCTAATTAACTTAAGCGTGTTAAGTGCCAAAAAATGTGAAACGTCAATCTTTCCACTTACCAATAACTAATCTCAAAAAAAACACATCTATGATATCACACCACTTAACCGAATGATGATCGTAATCAATCAAATTTTGATCAGCGTTTGAAATTAAAGTATTAATTTTGAAACTAGGCGGTAAATCATTACAGGTGAAGGTTGAAAAAGCAATAAAACAAATCAAGCAAACTGAATATTCTAGATATTTACGAATTAATTAGTTAGCAACGTCTTGCCCCATGCTCTCTATCCATACTAAACTATCAACCTAAGCATGCAGGAAAGCTTTTTTTAAACAAATCATTAAAAAACTATTGACATAACAGAAGACAGAATAATCTCCTTTATGATATGCGTGAATAACATAAAAGATGAAGGGTAAGAATAAACAGCAGTCATTATGAATCTCGTAACTATGTTATCTAGGTGATTAATTAAGTTTTATTTAATTTTACTTCTAATGGGAGGAAAATAACATCTAGAGGATCCATGACGAATCGTAGTGCGTATTGGTGAATACACTATGATATTATTCTATATAAGTTGTATATTTTATTACCAGTATCCAGCATTCGTGATAAAGATTAATGGACCCAAATAAACGATATATGATTAAACTATTCACAAAGATGAGAATGTGTTTGGTTGAAGTTAAAACTTAGCCAATTTAGAAAATACTACAAATGTTCCTATATATGAGCTAAAATATTCAAACTATAAACGGTAACCCATCTAACCCTAAGAATAGTATCAACTAAGCGAATAGAAAAATTGTTCACGCTAGGCAAGCCTTCTTGTTTGATGTGTGTGAGGACATTGACAGGAAAGCAGATAAGCAGTTATCCTTTAGTCTTAATCAGAGGAAATCACAAGCAGTTTATCTCTTGGTGAATAAAAGTTCAATGGGAAGAGAACAAAGATGGCAAGAAAAACCAATGAAAATAACAAGAAAAGAATCAACATGCATAGGTTGCCGTTGCACCACTCATGCATAAGTAGGGTCGGTTTAAATTAATACATTCAAGAGACTTCAATACACGCAGTTTAGCCTTTAATATATTGGCTCATCAGAGTTATAAATATATTGACTTGGATATACCCGAGAATTTCTCTTTAGCTGGTGTTCACCAAAAATACATGAACAATCTTGTTCCGATCCACTAGTTCTAATTTCTCCAAATAGAAAATGAACTGTTCAGTAAAATATTTACTCCTCAAAGCATGCTTAATTAGTTCTATGGCGTTTTCATTACGGATCATTGTATCAGTTATCAATCTAAGTACTTGTGACAACTTATTTGCTAAATTATTCAGTTTGAAGGTTACAGGGGGTTAATCGATTTCAAGGTGATATTCATCAGGAAGAGAGATCAGTTGGAGAACCACTAAAACTCTGAGTACTCCACGATCGTGACTTGTGGGACAAACCAAATTGGATGTGAAGGCGAATACTCAACCATGGTATTGGCTGAAAGTTGCGCCATCGCGAATTGGTAGAAGTAGAAAAATTTGGACCATTGGATTCCGAGTCAGTGGCTCAATGGTAATATGCTTACCTCGATACCTGGTGGGTTCAATCTCTGGAGCGATCATAGGATCATTCTGCTGAGGAGCCCCATACTAAAAAGAAACAGATGCTCAATGCTCCCAGGTTCTTAAAGGTTCTCTAACTGATTTCAGTCCGTGATGAATAGTGAATTATAATTTGCTTAGTAAGACAGAGAAGGTAGTTAGCACATGTATCATCCCATCGTTGATTGGACCGAATTGATTGTTCTCTACTGGTATATGACATAAAATTGAGACGCACACTATCGAAGCATTCCCGTTGTCCATTTTGAAATAGAAACCAATCAATCAGGTCCAATCAACGACAGGATAATACAAGTAACAACATTAAAACTATATCCATAGCACAAGAAGTGACTAATGTGACTCGGTGACCTAGTGGACAGCGCTCGAGCGTTCGAAGCAATCAGTCCCGGGTTCGAGTATTAATGGGAACAACATCGCTCACTGGAAAGCATATATATCCTGTCCCAGTTTTAGTTGACTACAAATAAATATACAACAAACAATTCGATTGTAATGACAAGAAAATATGTAAAATCAGTTGTAAGTGACCACCTTCCACTAATTGATGTTGAGAAAAGCATGTCACTATTTCAAATTGTCAATGAAAAAGTTAAAATACAGGGTACGTTTCATTCAAAGTATTAGTTGAAACAGTTTCATTAATGTTGTGGTTGGACCGTTAACCTACCAGTGAAAACCAAACAGTACATTAGTTGCACCATATGAATGTGTAACAAACAGATAGGCTCAGCTTATCAACATTTTACTGGTCTTTTTCCTTCTTTCACAAGATTAGTTCAGCCCTGATATGGATATAAAAAGTCCCACCACGTATAATCACTAATCCGTCTAGAGTCGCTTGGAGTTTACCGTGTTATGCTATGCTTACCTACGGAATACTTATAAGGCAGACTATTTAACCAACTCAGTTCCTATCATTACCAATGGTTCCAACCTCGGATATGTAGAAGGTGAAAAAGAGTCTAGTCGATGTACTTAGTAGAAGACCTAGTCATGTGGTTACATATGGCTCTAGAACATGCCAGAATATATTCTCCCACTGCTGATTCCTTATGAAGTTGTGCAACCAGAATAGTTAAACAATAGAAATACTCTATGTTAAAAAAGGTTATAGTATCCTTCAAATACATTAAGAGGTTGCAAGCAGTTTCAAGTGTTATTCGGTTTCTTTACGAACCTGAATGGTAAAATCTAGAATGCCTTACTCATATCTTGACAAAAATCTCTCTTTCACATATACAAACACTAAAGAAATGATAGGATATGGCTTTATTTACATGTATGTTTACAAGCCAATATTCTACCTGCCACTTGTCAGTAAATAAATTTAACAATAACAAACATAACA